TTATAGTTCGAAGTTATTTTTCCAAGTCTTAGAAATCTGGTGTGCATTTTTCACTTAGAGAACATACCAATTCTAGTTAGCTAGAGGCTACTGAATTAGACTATAGTGCCTGAGAAGATGTTTTTAATTACTTTTTAAAATTTTATAATTTTTTATTTATTATTATTGTACATTTTTTTTTTTTGGATATGTTTTCACAATAGGGCGCTTGCGCTCGCCAGACAGACAGAGAGAGACAGAGAGACAGAAAGCGAGAAATCACCCCCCAGGGGGGATGGCCACGCCGCAATCCCTTCTCCTCCATTCTCCTCTCGAGATCTTGGGCATGCATGCACATGCACCCAGCATGAATTTTAAGCCACTGGGTCCGGGACGCGAACCGCAGTCGACTACGTGGGAGTCCAGTGACATAGCCATTATGCTAACTGCTGGTCCCTATTATTGTACATCTTTATCACGTACAATATGGTCTTTCAAAGCTTGTATAGAATGTGTGATAATAATAAAAAAGGCTATTACTATGTAAATCATTTTCAACAAAGAACCTTACATTCTCGTGTCTGTTAAATGCTTTATTCTTGAGCTCCTCTCATCCACTTCCCACTACCTACCCCCTCCCATGTAGTCTCTGGTATCTTCATTTGCACTTTCTACTATTATGTCTTCAGATTTTTCAATTTCTGCTATAAAGTGCAGATGTTCTGAATCTATTGAGCAGGGATATATAATGTTTGCCTTTCATAGTCTGGTTTATTTCACTTAGGATTAAATCTTCTGTATTCATCTACTTTGTACTGAATGACAGAATCTTGCTTTTTTTTTTTTTTTTTTTTGGCTTAGTAGTACATGTGGCCACACTTTCTAAATCAAACATCAGTTGTTGGGCACTTAGGTTGATTCCTTTTTTAGTCATTATGAGTAATGCTGCAATAAACATGGATGTGCGTGTGTCTTTCTGACTGTTTTCCTGTCTTTGGGTAAGTACCAAGGAATGGGATTACTGAATCATATGGGTTTCTTCCATCTCTCCATCCTGGTGGGACTTGAGGCACAGGTACCCACTGTGTTTTTCAAGCTGCCAGGACCAGGATTCAAACTGTGTTTGTCCATGTAGGATCTGCCTCCTTTAACCACTAAGCCATGGGGCTGGCTTGACTATGGATTTTCTTTTCTTTTTTACTCTTTACCTCATGTCATATTTATTTATTTATTTATATTTAAATTTATTTATTTACATTTATTCACTCTACATCATTACAGCATACAAAATGAGATTTCCCATCCAGAATACACTGTATATTGGCTCTATCAAGCACATCAACATATGTGTTATCGTCAACAAATAATTTTCCATTTCTTGTTTCCTGTATATTTTGCTTTTTTCCCCCATCCTTGATTCCTTATCTCTCACCCTCTGCCATCTCCCACTCTCTTCCCACACTGTCTCTGTCATCTTTGTTTGTCCCCCCCCATTTTATTAAATTGCCAAAGATCTTAATCTAAGTATTTTCATAGCTGATATATACATTTCCATGAACAAAAGTGTAACTTTAGACATCCTATAAAGTAGCACCTAGCTGGGGCTGTATATCTTACTGCAGTCATCAAATACATATTTTTTTTCCTGAAACTTTTTTTTTCTAACTTAACTTACAT